CTCTTCCTCCTCTCTCTCTCTCTCCATATATATATATATATATATATAATGCGTATATATTATCTATCGCTTTGCACTCAACCCAATTTACACTTTAGCAGACGATTTTGTCGCGGTTTACAATAATGTGACAGTAGCTGAAGGAGCATGCATACACATACACAACACTATAAGGCGCACCCATGTAATGTACACATAGAAAGGTGAAATGGCGTACGATTGAGCCACGTGCTACCTTCAATACGGGGAATCCACTTGTCTATCTCACACAATAGTGAATGCGAACACCCTTTTCACCGACCTCCCCTCCTTCCATGTATATGCATGTATGGTTTCTCCTTGTTCCTTCCCAGATCAGTCTCTATAGGGGAAGAAAACGCACCCCCGATGCAAGGGGTGAGAAGGCGCAACACAGCATCCACTGTAACGCCTCACTCTTCCCCATGAGAGAGACACCATCCTCCAGAAGATGCACCTCTCCCGTGAGAGGCTCCTTCGTCAAGGCCGACTTCAGCTGAATCCCGTCCTCAACACCATAGCAGGGCACAGATGCTCCGAGAGTTGCACAGCTCACCTCAACGGAGTGCGGGGAGTAGGAGCCAAGCACCTGCTGCACTTTTGAGAGCAGCGTCATGACTTGACTATCCCCTTCGGCCAGTTCACGAGCCTTGGTAAAGATGGGATTCAAAAATTTCGGGAATCGGTACACCTTGACACAGATCAACGATGCAAGCAAGAAGACCTGGGCGAGAAACCTTCGCACAGCCGGAGAGTGTGCGACGTTGCCGGTAATGACCGTTGGGAAGCCTGGTGGTATTGTCGACGTGGTACCTTTCGTAGTTGGTTGAATCGGTAGACTCACGTAATATGTGGCTGAAAGGGCCTGCTTCAAGTAAAAAATAGCGTTCAAACTGTCAATATCTTGCAATGCGGCCTGAAGGATGCTGCCTATAAAATTGTTCATCGTTTGCAGAAGTTCCTCATTCGTCACGGCTGCTATAGGCGTTTTCGATGACAGCACCATGGCAGCCAGCTGATTGATGGAGCCAAGTCCATCCGCAGCGTGGTTCCGCTGAATACTTTCCGCATCCAGCGGAAGTTGAAGGCGTTGACACTCGGAAAGGACCTGCTCATGAAAAGCCTTCAGCCGCTCATTCACAGGCGCAGAGGTGTCGCCAGTAGTGCGCGTCAAACGCATCTTCTCCTCTGCTTGTTGGTAAAATGCAAATACCGTTGCAAGACCGTCGTAAGGGTTCGAACGTCGTGTTGCACAAATCAATGCCGTATCCCACTGGTGCTGTTGACAGGACTGCAACATGGAGAGGTGATATCCAGCATCGATGGTCGCCTGGCGCTGAAGCGGGACGGTGTGAACGAGAAGGTGCGCAATAACCACATCCCCGCTGTAAATGAGATCCATTACAGCGTCGTCATTAGCGCCGTCCACAAGCTTAGCCGCAGCAGCAATGCGGGGATTATCAGAATATGCCAACGCAGTGGCGCGTGCATGAAGCAATGTTTGCACAACAGGAGAGACACCATTTGAATCAACTGCCGTGTTGTGTGGAGGCTCTGTACTTGCCTGCTCCACATGTTGAGGACACGTCTGTGCGATGACGGCTGCCAAATCCCAGTTTTTATCAGACTGACGGGCAACAAGACGGGCGGCGCGAGCACTCTCCTCAGCCATTATGAAATAACGCACAGCACGTGTGTTTCCAGCAGCCTCCATAGCCTCTGCCGCCTGCAAGCAAAGAGAGCGCCACAGCTCGCGACTAACAACAGGCGCTGCGGCAATGGCACTATCCCATTCACCTACCTCAGCGAGCAACTGGCAATAATCGGCGACTTTTCCTACCTGCAGCATAGATTCAGCTGCTTCTATAACACGCATTTTTTTGTATTCCTCACCCGCGCTCGTCACGGTTTTACCGTGCGACTTCTCCACATTTGTTTTCCCCCACTTCCCATGTACCTCGACAAGCCGTGAGGCAGGCATAACGGTACACTTGGTGTTGGATATGTCCTGTGGATCGCCGGCAAACCCCGCCACACGCGCCAAGTCTGCAGCCCCACATGGAAATTCAAAGAGTCGGACAAGTCGTTCCATGCGCCTGTGAGGTGCAAGGTTGGCCTCCTTCAAGTCCTTATTTAACTCCTGCACAATATCACCGGCCACGACGGAGACGGAAGCTGCAGACGAAGTCGCCAACAGAGAAGTGCTATCCGATACGGTGCAATTTTCCAGTCTGCCCAGCGTGGCATCCAGGTAAACTTGTCGAAGTAGCCCCAAGTGCCAAAAAACAATGTTGGTGTCGTGCGAGACGGAGGCAAACACGAGCGGACGCTCGGGATGCCCACTCAATGCCACAACCTCCCCATTATGGGCACGGACCGTTGTCACATTGGATCCATTACGCAAATCCCATAGCCGTACGGTACAATCCGAGGATGCGGAGAGTGCAATATAAGGAGCAATACTGCACCATGCGACGGCATTGACACAACCTTTATGTCCACGCAATACACGGCATGAAACAGAAGCTGTATGTGACGTTCCTGAAGAAATATCCCATAGCCGTAATGTGGTGTCCTGACCACAGCTAAGCAGAAAATTCGTCGCAGTCGGATTATATGACACATTGAGAGCTGCCTCAGTGTGTCCTGTAAGCACAAGTGCGGGTTCTTCACGGCTGGAACCAATCTGAAACACAAGGACCTGTCCATCGTGGCAAGCCGCGGCAAGATGCTTCGTATGTTTTGGGTCAAATTCTATGCCACAAACAGGGGAAGCTGTCTTGTAATGACGCACAATTTTGCCGTCTCGTGCGGAAATGACAGCCAAGCCACCACAGTGTGAGGCTGCAATATAACCACCCGACTCACTGGAGTTCCACGACACACAATTGACAGCGCTTACAGCAGACACACTGACTCTCCAGTGTTTACGCTGTGTGGCGACGTAATAACAAACAACCTCACCAGTGCTAAGTCCAGCAGCAATATACTTACCAGTTAAACTCCAGTCAGTGGAGTGCACAATCACACGTCCCACATCAATTGTATATTGTAATGTGAGTTGTTTCGTGTTCCACACCCGTATCGTGCCATCCTTACTTGTTGTAGCAAGATAATCCTTTTCGTGATGAGCGTAGCGACAGGTATGCATCACGTCCGTATGACCTGCTTCCGTCTGCATTTCTATTTGTTGTGTACGTGTATTGAACACCGCAACACTGCCACTGCGCAATGCAATGAGGATGTGCTCAGGGCCAAAGGCGGCAACGCCAAAGACAGCGCTGCCAGCAATTGGATGCCATGCCGTCACCGCCGTGCGTGAGTTTGCTGACCACACTTCCAACTTGGAGCTCTCACCATCTGCTGTCACAAACGTTCCAGCCTGACCAGCAAGCCCAGAAATGGATATCACTGGCGCTTTCTGCACAGTGAAATTCTGTACAATAGTGCTGGACGCAATGTCCACTAGAGCTAGAGCTCCGTCGCGTGAGCCAATAGCAACAAAGTTGGGATTGTTCGGGTCAAACGCCATAGTTGTAACGGGAAGCCATCCGTTGTCAGTGGCAGTGCCATTGCCTTTGCTAGCATCGTTGGTTGTGTGTGATTCTTCAGAAAGTGTCGGCGCTGGAAATGGACGCAGTGAAGCATTCTGCCGTATACCATTCGCTGGGTGTATGGAGAGAACGAAAAATCCCCCCTCAGAGGTGCTGACAACGACGATGTCAGGACGAGATGCGGAGACGTCAATAAATGTCACGCTCCCCACGTGAGCATCACTGCTGCTGTCATGATTGCCGAGGAGAGTAGTGGGCGTGGGTGTGGGTGTCAGCGTGAGCGTGGGTGTGGGTGTGGGCACAGTGGGTGTGGGTGTGGGCACAGTGGCCGGGGTGACGCCCTGGTTCTTCATACTAAGCCGCAGTTGATGCGTGGTAGTTCCATCGTTCATGTTAACGGAAACCACCCAGCCGGTTCTCGTGCCGTACAAAATGTGGTGCTTTCCAGCCACCCGTACCACCGACGGACCACCCTCACGCCGGAAAAATTCACCCACAGCACTCGGCACGCGTTTCTTGTTCAAAATCTCTCCGTCTGCAAGGCGCCAAACGACTGTTTTCGCAGTGCTTGTTACACACGCCATGTATTCTTCATTGAAGTGAAATGAATGAATAGCACCAACAACACCGTTAGCAAAAATGCGGGTGAGAGGGTAACTATAAAACTTCTTCTTCTCAGTTGCCGCCGGTGTCCCTGCGGAGGCGGTCTTGGTGATTGTGATGGGTGTATACATGTAGATTGCCGCCGTAGAGCAGTACGCGATGACATTGGCGTGGCCAATGACAGGAGCTGCACAGCTCTGTTGACATCCACCTGCGAGAAGCGCAACTTGATTGATCGCTGCCATGCGCCGCGATCACACTGCTGAGGTTACTGCTGCTGTGGGTAGTGCTGTGGGCGCAATCCATTGAGCACAACACACACACACAACGAGGGAGGGAGAGAGAAGAGGAGGAAAGAGAGAGATCATCGTCAACGCGCAGAGCAACCAACAGCAGCATCGGGGAACCCATTAAAGACAAACTTGGCGTCAGGAGGGAAGGGGAGGGGTCAGAGACGCAGCATCCAAGTGTCGGACTGCTCTACCAACACAATAGGAGCAAAAATGCGCGCAGCAACTTTGGAGAGTAGTAAAAAAAAAAAAAAAACGCGGAACAGATTCCCTTTTTTATTTCTCTTGTTTTATGGTCGCTGCCTTCCTCTGCCCTCAATTCCGCTTCTTTGGTTGGTAATGGCTACGCCGCCTCCAACACACGCTGTAACTCGTCCACGTTCCTCGAGGCAGCCACACACCACCGAACGACCTCCAACAATTTCTTCATCCCCAGCGTCCAGAGCTCCTCACTCACATCGCTGTGGCACACGGGAAAACCGTCCACCTTGTCCTGCATAATAACATATGGCGCCTCCGCAGGCACCAGTGATTCCAAGACAGGCGTGGCAGAGGACACCCACGCTGAATGCACCGCCGCCACTTCTTCCGTAAGGCGCCGATGAACGGCTTCTCGGAGCCCAAGTAGACGGTCTTGCATCCACATTACAAGCTCCTGCACAAATGACGCAACCGTGACACATGCAGCACCAAACGTCTTCCATGAAAATAATTTCTCACAAATAAAAAAGTCCGACGAGCGGCACGTCATCTGCGGCGGTGACCCTCGTGCAGAGACAACCTCCACGGTACTTTGCTCGCCATTCAGTCGAAGCACATATTTCTCCAAAGGAATACGGTGGTGCTCCTTGATATGCTTCAGAAGCAGCAATAGATATCCACACGCCTGATTGATTTCCGCTACACTCACACTGTCGTTGCGGCTCCCGAGGAGGCTGCGCGAGTATTCCTGCTGCATATACAGCAGGTTCATCAACACTGTAGACTCTACACATCTATCCATCTCTACTGCGGAGCCAGACTCTGACGATGATGCTGAGACAAACTCGTGTGATGTCCAAGTTAAGGAACGGCTTCGTGACGATGCAGATGCGGAACATTTTCCAAGTCGCAGTCCTGCGATGGTTGCCACCGCGCCACTAATGTCGATAGGGAATGCCAAAGACATCGCATGCATTTTAGACATCCAACGATAACTACAGGCTGCGTGCTGCGTGCGCAGCGACACTCCTGACGCGGCGTCTTCTAAATTAAAGAAGGAAACCACTTGCTGAGCATTGTGTTTGGCGGTTACCATCTCCCACTCAGCCTTTACTGCCGTGCGTCGCTTTAAGAGCGCTGTCAATTCACCCTGAAGTGCTTGACGTGATTTCACCACTAGGCGCGACTTCTCTTCCTTTTCCCACACCTCAACCTGCAGGCGGTGCAACGACTCCTGCCGCACGACATCCTTCTGTGCTGCAGCAACGCATGCCAACACATTGTCAGCCTCTGAATGTTGCTGCCTCTCCAAAGGCTTGCCGTCATCATTGGTGATGCCCAACCGCCGTGTGAAACTGTTCTGTGCCCCAACTCTCGCCGCTTCACGCTGAAGACGTCGGCAAAAGCAAAGGATGATGCTATTCGCATCAGGGTTGGTATACACAGCAGTGAGGGCAGTAACATCCTCCATGGTGCGAGTCGTCTCTTTTTGCTGCGACTCCAGCGAGTCTTTCCAACAAGACATACAGAGTGGAACGTCCGTGCGGCTCTTATGCACCACGAGGCACAGTAACTTTCGAGCAAAGTTTGAGAGAAATGCCTCCCTAGAGGGAGATGCGGGACATGACTTCCGCGACGAAGAAGATATTGTCGCCATGGGAGATGCACCGCCAGCTGCCCTTGCCCGCTGCACAGCTGTGGTGTTTGCCGCACCGGGAAGTTCCGCTGCATGAGGCGTCATGGACGTAATTTTGCGTGTATGAAGAATTCTTGGCGAATATGGCACTGCTTGTCCTGTTGTTAGACCGATGTGCAGATGCACAGCATTTTCCGAGGTGAAAGACACGTGAGGATGGAAAGCAGATATGTCCTCCGAAAGCACAGAAAGCGACTGAGTGCGCCCAACGGCAGATACCGGCAAAGTATCACACGTAGTCGGCAATGATAACTGGGACACCAAGCGTATTGGCTCACGCTGATGAGTTCCACTAGGGGGCGTGACAGTAAACGCAGGTGCAGCGATGGCAGCCACCGTCGGTTGGTTCGAGCAAAATTCGGCACGTTGAACGGTCAATTGACTTGATGGCCGCGGCGGTGGAACCGGACCATCATAGAGCATGCGCCAAAGCTCTTGTATGTACACCGCCAACTCTTCAGTGGCCAACCACTCATACTGGTATACGAAAAATGGCGAGAGGCGCGTTACCATACGACTTTGGGCCCTTGTTGTGCGCCTCATGTCCGACGACATCGCCGGAGGTGTGCTTACTCGCATGGGACGTAAATCTTTCTTCAGTAGAGCATGCCGTTCGTTAAGCCACGGTGATAGTGGCGATGGTGCGAGCGGAGCGTACTTTCCCGCCGCACTTAACAGGGACCCTTTGATGGCGGGATGCAGCCTCTGCCGCCGCAGAGTTTCTTGCAGCTCACGTTTGCCCACCACGTCACAGGGTTCCTCGAGGCACGTTTGCTGCTCCCGCTCCTCTTGCCTTGACCATGCCTCTTCGACTTTGTGGAGAGCACCCATGTGACGATCCCGAATACGCCGCCGCTCGCTTTCCTCATCGTCCAAGCGGCTCGACGCTCGGGATGACATCAGGAACCCCCCAGCAGGTAGTGTTGATGTTGAAAATGGCGATAAAAGGCGTCTTGCGGTTGGGGTGACGAGACTCTTATGACACGCAACATTTTTTCCATCAAGTTGAACTGTGCGGCGGCACACGCAGCATGTAAACACCGCGCAAACCGGGGCGTACGCCGCACCATCTCGTGTCGCCTCGAGAGTCCTTGTAACATTCCCTCCCTCACCCCTCGAAGCACTCATTGTAGCGCGTGTGGGGCGACAGCCGCGAAACCAATATCTATCTATATATGTTTGGGCGTGTGCAGAGACGGCGAGCACATACACAGGACTTTCCTCCCACCCAAACAACGCCCAGCAATGCCCCAGTGATGGGAGAGAAACGAAAAGCACTGACACATGCCAAACAGATCAAAAAAAAAAACATACTCAAAACAACAACAACAACAACGGACACACAACACCTTCATGGGAAATCTATGAAGAACATTTTGTTTATCCGCACCCGTTGTTCAGCAGATGGAGCGCGAAATAATACGCCTTTAAGGCAGAACGTCTCACAAAAGAGTAACAAGTAATATTAACAGATCGTCTAACTGGATGCACTGCGATGGCTACGGTATAGAGTTCTCGGCCCGCTCAATCCGCATCTCTAGACCCGAAATAACCTCCTGCACAGCCTCGTCCCACTGGGCACAAACTTCGTCGTTGCTGCCTGTTTGCATCTCCGTGACACACGTGAGGGCGTGTGGCGACGACGTCATTCTCACAGATCGAGGGACATACAACGGGGTTGTATTGATACCTTTGCTGTTATTTACTGGTCCACTCCGGGACGGTGACAGCGGCGGTGCCGACAACCGCCAAGCTGCAGAAGGCCGATGTTGAGAACAGTCATGAGAAGGCCGTTCTGCCAACTCCATCGATAGTGAACGCACCTCATCCCGCAGGTGCTGCACGATTCGCGTCAGCTCAAGCTCTCGTTGGCGCAACGCGGCATTCTCCTCTTCCGCTGTTCGCCGTGATTCACGCTCCTTCTCGAGAGCGTCATGAGCCGCACGTAGGCGCTCCTGCTAGCTGCTGATAAACATCACGGGCAATGAAAGAACTCGCAACATGTCTCTCATACTCGCGAAGCTTTTGTGCAAATCCAGTGGCGACTCCCTCGCGTTCCTGGGCTATGCGGCGCAGCTGATGGCCCTCCTTCTCTGCCAACTGAATAGATATATCCTGCTGACGCATCCTCTTACGCAAATCCACAAAGGTGTCACGCATGGAACCCAGAACGATATGAAGCGTCTGTGCGAGCGTTCCACGACAATGTGTGTCGTGAGGAGTCACGCGTGATAAAATTCGACGTCTCAGGGGACCACCAGCCCCAGCAGCAGTCAAACCCGGTGAGAGATTAGCTCCAAAATAGACGTGATTAACCTCCACGTTGGCATCCAACTCCGCAAGGGCCAATGCTTGCTCCAAAGCATAAGTTTCCTCGTATCCCACCGTACCGCTTCTAGCATGAGGCGCAATAGCGCCAAGAAGGGTCTTCAGCGGTGGAAGCTGCACAAATGGCATTTTCCTGCCCCCAGATTGCCCCCGAAGCGCGGCAGACACACTCGGCACCGACTCTACAAGACGAAGAATATTGTTGGAAGGCAACATTCGCCACGAGGGAGGTTGTGCCCTACCAGTAAAATCTTGATCACTGTACTGCTTCCTGTCATGCTCACTGTTTTCATTGTTGACAGCAAACACAACACAACGCTTGTTGGAACGAGAAGGCACGAGATGTCGCATACGACCACATGCTATCACAACAGTTACAATCGCATACAATGAGTGTCCATGGTGCAAGTGTAGCACCCGGTCCATCTCATGCAAATCCAACATCGTCTCCTCCCTATTCTCCTCCTCCTTTATAAATTTCTGAATCACTTGAATGGCGGCACGAGAATCGGCTTCTTGCGCTTCATAGGCACGCCAAAGAGCAAACCGTTCAGCCGCTATGGTACCCAGCCGCATCGCCAATAAAGCCACCGCGGAACACAGCTTCCTTGAGAGCTCATAGAGGGAATCTTGATTCCGTACCTCGCGCTGCATCTGTGTCTCAAGGACATCTGTCATGCGAACCAAATCGCCGCATCGACTGCGCAGTGTATTCAAATCAAATTGTTCCTCACGTGTTGCATCCTGGTGTGCGGCGAGCTTTGTGTTGAGTTCGGCAATTATATCACTCCGCGCAGCCGCCTCCTGCTTTGCCGCCTCATATTTTTCGTGTACCTCTCGTAGTTGCTTATGAAGCTGCCGTTCCTGCCTCAACTTGGCCTGCACATCCCGTTCCGCTGCCTCCACACGCCGCAAAAGGGCATGCTGTTCAACCTCACGTGTACGCGTGGTCGCAGCAAGTTGTGTTTGTAGGGAGGACAATGTCTCGTTTGCCGACTTTAAAGACGTTTGTAAGCGCCTCACCGTAGCCTGATGCCGCACACGTTCCTCATTTATTACCACAGACTGACGCTGCTTCTCTTCCTGCAGTTTAGCCAAAGTGTCACGCATTGAACGAGCCTCGCGTAGTTGTCGAGCCGCGTTTCGCGTCGCCTGGTGTGTTCGCCGCACCAACGCATACACCGCTCTCTCATAGGAGGGTTCCAATATAGTCTTACATGTCAGACATCCCTTCGAGTCCAAGTGCCACTCATTTGGTTGAAGTGTGTCGACTTCACATACAATTCTTCCCATGTGTTCCTCGCTCTGCCCCTCGCTGTTGTCTCCCAGGCTGATGTTGCTATTATTAGTGCTGTTCCAGTTGTCGTCCTCTCCCTCCTCCTTGTGTGATGTCTTGACCCCTTTACACTTTCGCACATTAGTGTTGGTGGCGGCAAGCACCATGCGGCTTTGTCGTTTCATGGCGCCAAGCAGCTGCATGTACTGAAGCTCCATGCGGTGTATCTGGTCGCTCGCCTCTTGTGTGGCACTTTTCATCGTCTGCAGTTCCACGACATGTGCGTCTGTCATGGCATCCAATCGATTCTGCAGTTCCTTCTGACGTTCTTGGGATTCACGGTGCATTGACCTCGCCGTCTCCTCAACGCCGTTCCACTGCTGTTCCAGACACTGCAAAAGAGATGCGAGGGCGGCAGGGGCAGCGTCGCTGTCCGGCACATCCTCTCTCTGCACTTCCGTCAGTGGCTGCAACTGATTGCCGTCGGCTGCGAGGGCGGAGGTCAGCTGAGCGCCACGCTCTAACAATGCCATCAATCGTTTCCACGTCATTGCAACCATGTGTTGTACATTTTGCCGAAACAATTCCGTGGATTTCTTCACAGCAATCATCTCCACATACCGCCGCTCCAACTCCTGCTGCTGCAGACCTGTGACAGCACGTACCTCATCTTTTTTTGCACCATCATCCTCTGCTTCCTCTTCCTCCTCATAATCATCGGCAGTGCCCCCATCCTTTTTCTTATGGTGGCTTACCGCAGACGTGTCCATGGTTCCTTCCGTCGCGGCGTGCAACTTCTCCAGTTCAGCGCAACGTGCTCGGAACGTGATGAGTTCTCCCTCTACCCACTCCTTTTCCCCACGTAGGCGCGTCAGTTCCTTCTCCATTCCATCATGTTGGCGGTGCCACAGGGTGCGCTCCGCCTCCACCTGCTGTTGCAACTTACGGAAACGTTCATTCTCCCTGCGCAGCCCACCCACCTCATCCTCCATCACACGCAGCGCGTGCTCACTTGCTTGCAACCCCGCCTTCGCCAAACGCAGCTCCTCAGCCGTGGCAGCAACGTACGCGCGGTGCTGCTCGCTCGCGTTTTGTGACTCGGCGCTTGACTCAAGAAGGTCATTTTCAAGTACCTTTTGACGCTCCACTGAGGCATCCAGCGCCGCTTGGAGTGTGCGGCAGCGCCGCTTGTGCCATAGCAGTTCCGAAAGCTGTTGCTGCGACTCACGAAGAAGACTCTCAAGGGAAAGGGGGCTGTCTCGTGCTGCCGCGGTAGTGGCTGTGTCAACCAATGCGTTAACAACGGTGGACGGCGAAGTTGTGGGTGGAGGTCGTGTTTCACATGGAAACTTCATGCATTGTTTTCCCACCTGAGGCTTCACGACAGCCTCATTCACCATGACGGCGGTGTTGAGGAGCGGCGACGTCCACCGCACGGCGGCAGCCCTCTTACTCTTCTCATGATTTTCCAGCGTACCTGCGGTGTGGACCAAACTGTGCACCACCTCCATCGTATTTGGGCTCGCGGAGCTTAGTGGGGTTTGTGTCGCGGGTGCGTCACGGCGTGCCTCTATGCCCCCGCAGCGGGATAACACGGGCAGTGGTGTGTTATCCGTAAACATGCGTTATATAAATGCCACAGCAACCACCCTCCCACTCACTGATTTTCCTCTTCACTATGATGAAAAACCCGTAGATAGATATCTACCTATGTTTTATTTCCTTATATATATCTCCCTTTCTGTGTTTTCCCTTTGAATGTATGGGTAAAGCAGTCAGTTCCCTTTGCCACCATACATGCCCGATGTCTCGTTCTCGCTCTATAGATCTGTACACCTTCAACCCTCGTCCCCTGCACCCAGTCAAAGGCCGAAGCAAAACGAAAAAAGAGAACGTAAGATGGAAGCTTGCATGCATGCACGTGTACGCACAGGCATAGACGCAGTTTGCAAGATTGGCGACAAGTGCCGTGTGTGCCTTACCCTCGAAGAAAGAAAAATAAATGGAAAATGCGTATGTATGTGTACCTCGGTGTGTTGAGGAAAAGCGCCCACGCACAGAAAAAAGGCACTCACAGTCGTCAACCTACATGTGTGTGCAGCAACGCGACTCTCACAGTCAGAACAAAGAGAGCGACGCCCACCGTAACCCACAAAAAACATAGGTGAAGAACACGGTCGAGTGCAGCGGATGCGCCACGTAACATCGTCAGGAGGATGCAAAAGGNTAATATATATATATATATATATATGTATACATATATATATATATATATATATAAANAAATAA